TGATATTAAAAATACACTACTTAATTAGTTGCTGCTGGGATCAGTGTCACGTGAGAAGGTAAAGTAGCTTAATTCTTTCCCTCCACAATGTGTACTCTGTCTCCAGCCAATTATCAAAGACTGTTTTCTCTGATGGCTGCATATTGTCTGCATCTCACCATTTAGAATGATGACATTTCCATCCCTGGATTTGAGTGATAAAGAGAACAAATTTTAGGCTGATTGCTGCATACAAGACTATTTTGGTTTCTATGCGAGTCATTAACTATATTATTTCCTTTTTGCACATTAAACATGCCACCAACCTCAACCTCCTGCTCATATCTCGTGGGCATTTAGTGTTTAATAGTGTCAGTAACAGCTGGTGTGCCATCTAAACTCTGAGAAAGGTAGTCCTTGAAGATTTACATACACGAGGCAATTAACTGAGGCTTCTTAATGAAGGAAGTATGAAATCCCTGTCTTTTGCACTAGTTTGGTGAAAGTCATGGGGCAACCAACAAAACAAGCTGATATCATGGTATTTAATCGTGTTCCTGTAATTGAGCAGACAATTACTTTTAATACTATGAATAGAATTAAAGAAATGTGCTACAAATGCAATTACTTTTGCTATCCAGTTATCTTTTTGCTTTGCTCAAAATGGGATTGTATGACAAATAATTCCTATTTCTATGCATTAATAAAGCATTTCTTGATTCATTTCTTTAAATATTAGAGTTTTTAAAAATAATTAACATAAAGAATTGAATACTACTGGATACTTTGGGAGAAAATTGCTGGGCATATTTAATGAAGTTTGATACCTTGAATAAATAGTAAAGAGAAGAGAATATGTATCCATCTTTGTATTCCCCATAGTACGTTGCATATGGTATAGGTTTCCCAAAAGTTTATTAAGTTTATTACTAAAGATGTACTTTTTAACATTTTAAATTTTCTATTTGTTATTAAATATAATACTTTTTTTTCTTCAAATGTATCCAAAGTGTTGAACGACACATAGCTGTTCAACTGCAATATGTATATCTAAAATAGGGACAGTATTTAATATCTGTGGACTTGGCTTATACATATTAACACATGTTTGTTGAAGAGACAGCAGTTTTCAAGATAAAGACTCTGAGATAGCTTTCATATAAAAAGGTTTAAATTAATTTCATAATAGGTGTGTGTACATTGGATACTTTTTCTTCCATTCCT